CCCCTGCTCTAGCCACTGAGCAAGGCAGCTAGGGCAATTTTTTTTTTATTTTTTAAGGAAAGCAAGCAAGTCTGCAGGATGCTACCACATGGATGCATCTTGAGGAAGTCACCCTAAGTGAGATGAGCCGGTCACAGAAAGACAAACACTGCAGGATTACAGGTCAGTGCGGTGTGCAAACCAGTCAGAGTCACAGAACCGAAGAGGGGAACTGCATTTGCCAGGGCCTGAGCGAGGGAGGGAGACATGGGAAGTCACTACCGAAGGGGCATAAGGGTTAGTCCAGCAAGACGAACAGTCTCAGAGGTCTGCTGTCCACCCCTGCACCCAGTCAGCACAGCACACTGCACGCTGGCAATTTGATCGGGAGGGTAGAGCCCATGAGAAGTATTCTTTCCAAATGATTCTTTTAATAACATGCGTGTGTTGCCAGTTCAGCTCAATGGATAGAGCGACGGCCTGCGGACTAAAGGGTCCTGGGTTCGATTCTTGTCAACAGCACGTACCTTGGTTGCAGGCTCCTCCCAGCCCGGGCCCTGGTCTGGGCGTGTGCAGGAGGCAACCAATCATGTGTTTCTCTCACATCAATGTTTCTCTCTGTGTTTCCCTCTCTCTTCCACTCTCTAAAAACCAATGGAAAAGTATCCTCGGGTGAGGATTAACAAAATAAAGTAAAATAAAATAAAATGCCTGTGGGCAGGAAGGAGCCGATGTGGGCCACCTCGTACGTCTGTGGGTTTTTCCACTCTCCTTACTTAGACCCCAGAGAGGACAGCAGCATCGGGGATCTTGAAATCATTACCACTGTGATTCACCTAACGCGGGGCGCCGCGGGGAAGTTAATTTTCAGGATGAAATTACAGCGGCTCCAGAGGAAACCATTCTGACTTCCTTTCACATTTCGAACGAGGCAGGCCCAAATCTTTCCATCCAGCAGGGCTCAGCGACCCACAGAAAGCCAGGCGTCCACGCACGAGCCCAATGGGTGGGAGGGGCTCGGGCACTCTGCAGATGAAATTCTGTGAGAACCATCCTTCTTACCTTTCCAAAACTCCCTTTGCCAATGGCCCGCAGGATCTGAAAATGGTCAAAGTTGACTGCAAAAGAAAAAGGGGGAGAAAAAAAGAACAAGTCAGGCTGGCCAAACCTCGGATTCGTTCTCGAACGTTCTTACCTACATACCTGACCATGCACTCCAACGGCTTCTAGTTCCCACTGCACGACCTCCGCACGGCAGCACCCACCCGAACAGACACTTCTCGGCATATCCCGTCCCGCCCCCGACGCATCCATTCGGCCGCGAGCGCCTCCCCAGTGGGTGTGGAGGGGAAGGGCTGGCAGAGAACTTGACACTCGCATTACCGAGTTCTTCTATGTGCTGCTGGCCCTTCGCCAGGGGGCCTTTCCCCACCTCGTCTACCTGGCACTCAGCCTAGCTAGTCCTGTCTTCTGCCTAGAAGCTCTGAACCCCCAACTGCCATGACCAAGTCCTGGCCCCCTCCTACGTGGATGCCAGCCTCAGGCCCAGCCGTGGGGCGACTGGAAGGTGAGGATGTTGCGCCCACACTCTCCTCCTGGCATGACCCTGTCTGGTGTTCCCGAGGGGGTCCTCTTCTCGCTCCGTCCAGCGCCTCGCTCAGTCTGGCTCCTAGCCGTGTCCCTACAGCGCAGCCACACGTGGCCACACCCCTAAACCCCACAGACGCCTGTCTGCCTTCCCCTTGGCCTCGCGCTCCTTTCTGAAGGTCCTGCCTGGCGTCCATGGCAGGGCACCCTCTCACTTCCCACTCCTGTTGCACCCACAGCCTCCTCCTCCCAACCCCCACCCACTGGAGCCCATCCAGCCGGCACCCTAAACCTTCCTCTTCTCACGGGCACAGCGGCTCCCACCCCCACCGACGGCCACGGCTCTCGGAGGCTTCTCTGGCCCCCAGGCTGTGCCCACGGATCCCTGCCCACCTCACAGCGCCTCCTGGTGGCTTCCAGCCACCCCACCCTCCCCAGGCCCAGGGCAGGACCCAGGATGCGTGGTTCAGCGTTCATCTGACCTCACAGGCTCCAAGCCCAGAGCTCCCCCGTGACCCCTCTCTCCCAACCCCACAACCAATCCTTCTGCAGGAGGGTCCACTGCCCCTGTATAATCACTATGGCAGGCACCCGAAACTAACAGAATACAGAACGTCAACTGTCACAGAAAAATACAATAAACAGACAGATAATCCGTCTGGTCCCCGGGACCCATCTAGGGAGGGGACTTCCTCCCTCGCCAGGCGAGACACTTACGCGAAGGCCACAGACTCCCAGGCACGCAGGGCTGCGGTGGCCACTCCCCGGGGAGAGCCTGCACGCGGGAGCCGCGTGTATGCATTGGCCCCAGCTGAAGGCTAGCAGCGGTGATAGCGCTGTCATCCACTGGTTACTCACAGCAGGAGAGGAGCAAGGGGAAGGCCAGGGGTCACAGGCATGCCCCCTGCCACACCCTGGGGGAGGGCACCACACAGGGAAGACACGGCCTGTCAATCACTCCTGGGGACAGAGATGATGGGCCAGAATGGGCGTGGCCCCTTGAGTGTGGCTCTTCCACAAAATACCATGTGCGGGTGCGCACGTGCAGTGCGATTGAAACATCGTGGCCCATGCGCAGAAGTCGGTCTTTTGTGGAAGAGCCACACTCAAGGGGCCAAAGAGCTGCATGTGGCTCGCGAGCCGCAGTTTGCCGACCACTGCCCTAAACAAAACGCTCACTCTCCTACCCTCTTGGCTTCCTTTGGCACAGGTGGCTCCTGGCTCTCACTGGGCTCCCTGGCATTGTCCTGCGTGGCCATGGCCATGCCGACCCCACACGATGTACACTGGGCTGGAACGAGCTGATGCTGGACTGGTCCCGGCTCCCAAGGAAATGCTGGACACTGGCTTGGCTTCCAGCTCTACTGCAACCCCCTACACTTCTTCTATGACGGACTCGGGGAGATGGGGCTGGGAAAGCCAGGGTGCGATTCCATGCAAATAAAGCTTTCTACCCTGTCTCATCCTCCCGTGGGGCCTCCGCAAATGCTCATTCCAGCAGCACCCCAAGAACCCCACTCCCACCTGCAACGGGGGGAGACGAGACATGTTTTTCTTGGATAACAGCTGCCCCGACAGCCCCACGGCATCCTGCTCACAGGCCCAGCCCGGCCCCTGCACACAGCCTCCCCCACAGTTCAGGGGTCACCACGCCCACATCCACAGCCGAAGTTCAGCTGGAGACGCCCTCCGGCGCCGGGCAGGGTCCGCTCGGGCTGGCCCGGGCCACGGCTCCGCACGGACCTCTTGTGTGTCCCCAGCACAGAGCAGGCATCCGGTGGGTGCCGAGCAGGGCCACAGCCCCTCCTTCCAGCCTCGTCACAAACTGCTCTGTTTTCAGGGTGATGCTTGTGCTTCATAAAAACCCAAAGGGCCTTTTCTCACTCTGTGCGCTCACCAGCAGAAACAGGAAACCTCTGGCATTCGGCAATCACAGGCCCATGCAGACAGGGGAACACTGGCGATGACCCCAGCACGGCAGCCGACATGGATGCTGGGAAAGGTGGCATCCGCGAGAAGGAGGGCATCGAACACGTGTCTGAGAGGGAGCGTGTGTGGCCCTAACATTCCTCAGCTGCACGTGTCTGAGAGCGTGTGTGGCCCTAACATTCCTCAGCTGCATGTGTCTGAGAAGGCGTGTGTAACCCTAACATTCCTCAGCTGCACATGTCTGAAGGCGTGTGTGGCCCTAACATTCCTCAGCTGCACTGGGCTGAGAGCGTGTGTGGCCCTAACATTCCTCAGCTGCACTGGGCTGAGAGCGTGTGTGGCCCTAACATTCCTCAGCTGCACTGGGCTGAGAGCGTGTGTGGCCCTAACATTCCTCAGCTGCACTGGGCTGAGAGCGTGTGTGGCCCTAACATTCCTCAGCTGCACTGGGCTGAGAGCGTGTGTGGCCCTAACATTCCTCAGCTGCACTGGGCTGAGAGCGTGTGTGGCCCTAACATTCCTCAGCTGCACTGGGCTGAGAGCGTGTGTGGCCCTAACATTCCTCAGCTGCACTGGGCTGAGAGCGTGTGTGGCCCTAACATTCCTCAGCTGCACTGGGCTGAGAGCGTGTGTGGCCCTAACATTCCTCAGCTGCACATGTCTGAGGGCGTGTGTGACCCTAGCAATTCCTCGACGGTGAGGACTGCTTAGACGCCTGGGCCTCCTCTCGCCCAGCGTGGCCACTGCCTAGGGCCGGGGAGCAAAGCCCCACGGACCGGCAACAGAAACTCAGTCTCCTCCACAGGCTCCGGGAGGGTTCTGCCCGGGCTCCTCCCACTCCCGCTCCCGCTGCAGCCAGAGTCCTTGCTGTTCCTGGGCTGCACCAGGCCAGGGTCTGCCTCTGTCATCACGTGGCCTCTTCCCTCTGCGTCTGTCTCTGTCTTTTCTCCGCTTCTTCTAAGGACACCAGTCATGAGATGAGGGCCCTGCCGCAGTATGACTCACTTAACTCATACATCTGCCAAGGCCCTACTTCCAAATGAGATCAAATTCTGCGGTTCCGGGTGAGCATGAATTTGGAGGGGACAGTATTCAACCTGGTACCCCCGGACAAGCACCTGGCCCAGAGGAGAGGTTCAGGAAAGGATGGCTGACACAGGGATGAATGAAGGAGCATCTGTGTGATCACACCTGTGCGTGCACCTGCATGATCACACCTGTGTGTGCACCTGCATGACCACACCTGTGTGTGCACCTGTATGATGACACCTGTGTGTGCACCTGTATTACACCTGTGTGTGCACCTGTATGATCACACCTGTGTGTGCACCTGTATGATCACACCTGTGTGTGCACCTGTATGATCACACCTGTGTGTGCACCTGTATGATCACACCTGTGTGTGCACCTGTATGATCACACCTGTGTGTGCACCTGTATGATCACACCTGTGTGTGCACCTGTATGATCACACCTGTGTGTGCACCTGTATGATCATACCTTTGTGTGCGCCTGTGTGATCACACCTGTGTGTACACCTGTATGATCACACCTGTGTGCACTCCTGTGTGATCACACCTGTACGTGCACCTGCATGACCACACCTGTGTGTGCACCTGTGTGATCATACCTGTGGGTGCTCCTGTGTGATCACACTTGTGTGTGCACCTGTGTGATCATACCTGTGTGTGCACCTGTGTGATCACACCCATGCTCCTGTGTGATCACACCTGTGTGTGCACCTGTGTGATCACACCCATGTGTGCACCTGTGTGATCACACCCATGCTCCTGTGTGATCACACCTGTGTGTGCACCTGTATGATCACACCTGTGTGTGCACCTGTATGATCATACCTTTGTGTGCGCCTGTGTGATCACACCTGTGTGTACACCTGTATGATCACACCTGTGTGTGCACCTGTATGATCATACCTTTGTGTGCTCCTGTGTGATCACACCTGTGTGTGCACTGGTACCTGTCCACGCTGTAGAAACAATGAGGTATTCTGGAAGCAGAGCGGGCTCTTCCTTCTGGGAGGGGGAGTCAGACTGGAGCTGGGATACCAGCCCCTCTTGGGTCTGAGCCTCTGGCTGTCAGACGGCACTGACACCACTGGCGCTGGGACTGCACGTCGGGGACCTCCCAGCCTCCGAGCAGCTCCTCACAGTAAGTCTCTAGCCAGCATCCATCCACTCACCCACCCCTCCTGGCGGCCCCGCTCCTCTGTGCTCCTAACGCATCCCCCCGCTGACTGGTGCCCGCCCACCTCCCTCGCTCTTCTGCCTGCCGCACACGGGGCAGGCTCCCGCACCTCTCCACGGGGGCTTCCCCTGGTGCCCGGACTCACTCTGCCCCCACACCGGGTGGGACATGCCCGGAACTGAAACTTCCCCGGAGCAGCCCTCACCGTGGCGGAAGGGCATGGGAGGACCACTACCCCAAGTCCCTCGACCACAGAGTGGATGACTCTGAGGCGCCTGCCACTCTGCCCCCACACCGGGTGGGACATGCCCGGAAATGAAACTGCCCTGGAGCAGCCCTCACCATGACGGATGGGCATGGGAGGACCACTACCCCAAGTCCCTTGACCACAGAGTGGATGAGGCGCCTGCCGCACGCTCCCCAAAGTCCGCAGGTGCCCACGCGGTAACTTGCTCGCTAACACCCGCTCCCCGCCCCCTCCCCTGTCTCGCCGCCCCTCCCTGCCGGGGAGCCCGGGGTCACCTCCTACCCAAACGACTTGCACGTGGGCCTGGTCTCAGGGTCTGCTTCTACGGAGACAACCCCTCGAGGAGGCCCGTGCACACGCCTCACTCTGTCGCAGGACCCTGTACCCATCCTTCCCAGCTTGTGGCGCCTCCTCTCACTTCCATGTCTGCTCGTTGGCTCCGTGCCCATCTGTAACAAGGGCACTTGCCCGTCTGCGTTTCCCCTGTGCGTCCGTGAAGTAGCTGTTCCATGAACACTTAATTCATTCCTGACAGGTAAATGCGTGAATGAAGGCCTAGCCCTGGGCACGTGTCTTCTCGTCTGGCCTCAGCCCCGTCCCCACCTCTAGGAAAAGGAGGCACCTGCAGGGCTTCCTCTGGCCCGCACAGCCCGCCGTCCTGCAGCCCGGGCCGTGGGATGATGAAGCGCATGGCTCTGTCGCGGAGGAGGCTCTGGATACCACCGTGGCTTCAGCCTGCGACAGTATGACACGGGAGCCCGAGAGCGTGGCCATTAGCGAGGACGGAGGGAAAGGAGGTCTTTGCCGCTAATGACAGGGTGCAGCCTTGTGCGGCAAGAACATTGGGAGCGTTTGCATATAAATTGCCTTTTACCGTTTCCATCCTTCAAAACTAATGAGTGTTTCCGACTTAAA